GAGCAGTTAGAGTGCAATCGCATCTTATCGAGTTCCATTGTTGTATACATCGGCCTCGATTTGAACATGCCCCAGGCGAGCAACGAGCAAGTGGACCTTTAAATACTGTCTTTCACCCCCTTCTTTTAGGTAGAAGCGTTAGCTAACCAGAGCATCCTCGAACTACATCCTTCTTGTCCTCAGAATCATCATAGACATCAACAGCTTGATCATTGAGCCGAAATCCAGCCAAACAGCCGCGAAATCCACTTCGAACGAGTGGAGCTGAAGGGGGAGCGCCTCCTGGAAAAGACAGCTCTGAGTACGATTGCACAGTTGCGTCATGTCTATTGGGTATAAGCCCACGAACCTATGGTCACGACACCGTTCAGCTCTGGCATCAGCTCACTTTCAGTAACTACTGTTGTGTTGTCCACGAGTAACATGTAGAGCGAACTACGTTCCTCCTTGAACAGTTTAATCAAATTTCGTGACACAAATAATGAAAATTTGTTTAAAAATGTCCAAAAAGTACTTGAATCTGGAAAAAAAATGAACTTCTTATCAGCGATCATCGATACCTGATAAAAAAGCAGAGTGTGCCATCGCATATCGCTAAGATGTTGATGATTTGGCAGCAATGGAGACTGTACCACCATCTCTCCTTCTTTCGCTTTGAAGGTTATCTTTATCCTAAAAACAAAAATGTAAAGTGCAGTTACAGCAATTTAAGAACATTCTAACCTTACCTAGCTTTGACTAGTTCAATTAATAATGAGGTGTTCTTTTCGGCAGAGTATGAGGCAAGTAATAAGGCATTTCTGATGAGAGTTTGAAATTTGAAAGACACACGCAATGAACCCGTAAATGAAGAGGCCTGAAAACATATTTCCATATTAGAATAAACATTTTTTTCTAATTCTAGTTGAACTTACCATTCTTTGCGACAGAACTGCATAACCAGTTGTGTTCGTGAAAGAGACGGAAGACTGCTTAGGCCTGCTAAAAGTTCCAGATTTAAATAGTTTTCTTTTTTCCCTTTGAAAAAAGTGCATATTTATAAAAAAGTTAATTACACTTGTTACATGCGAACATTGAGAAAATGTGCCTATTTTCAAAAAAAAAATGTCTCCATCTACTTCTTTCAAAGATGTTTTGCCTTTACTGAAAAATTGTTCAGGTAGGGATGTTTGGTGGGAGATAAAGATTATTTAACTCTGATTATGTTTTTTTGTGTGCTTTAACCATTTGATAACGCTTTCGAATGATAGGCATGCTAAAGGTCGATCTTCACAGAATTCCGGATAACTCCACGTTTGTCTTGAGAACGTGCCGACAGTTTGATCCCTAATATTTTTTATTGTTAAATCTTTTCTCAACCTCAACTATTCATGTTGAAGGGCTAGGGTAAATTGAAAATTTAACTTTTGAACAAATCTTTCGGCCTGAAAATTACGGCTATGAGAAGAAGTTATGGGTATGA